ACTATATTCCTAATGGTTAAACTTTACACCCAATATTTCAACTATATTCCTAATGGTTTAACTTTACACCCAATATTTCAACTATATTCCTAATGGTTTAACTTTACACCCTACAGTTTAACTATATTCCTAATGGTTTAACTTTACACCCAATAGTTCAACTATATTCCTAATGGTTAAACTTTACACCCTACAGTTCATCTATATTCCTAATGGTGTAACTTTACACCCAATATTTCAACTATATTCCTAATGATGTAACTATACACCCAATATTTCAACTATATTCCTAATGGTTTAACTTTACACCCAATAGTTCAACTATATTCCTACTAGTTAAACTTTACACCCAGTATTTAACTTTAGATTTAAAAGAACATCAAAATATCACTTATACTCTGCTTGACAAACAATTATTGACAATGTTTGTGATGGTTTTTATAAACTATTACTCTGTCTCTTCACTTCCTGGAATTTTGTAAATATTGGAGTCTACCCATCCCCAAAATGTGCAACACTAACTTCGTTGTTTGATACACGTGGAACGTTAAATACGAAGTTATGGTATAGTTAAAGTGTTCTGTTGCTCTAGTCATGTACCGTACCATATTACGTAAGTCTATTTGCAGGTTTGACTGTTTTCATTGACAAATTGTGTAAACTTCCTGAGCTATCACCACGACTTGTGAATAAATTTGTTTGTGTTTTTGCGAGTGTGTTTACTTGTGCTTTCCGTTCAGAACATGCATGCTTTGATTTTAAAAAAATCATTTATACGATTTGGTGATGTTCTAACCATAACCATTGAGCCAAGTTTATTAAGAATTATGTCAATTTGTCCGTTTTTAATTGGGACAGCGGTAAGTATACGGACTTACAAGGCTAAAATCTGAGATTCGACTCCCGCGGTGGACACAACAGATAGCCCACTGTGGCTTTGCTCTAAAACAAACAGACCTTTTTTAAAACGCTGTTAAAATCTCAAACACACACACACACACACACACACGAGGATTCACTGGTGAAATCTGTTACAGTTTAAAATAATAATATTTTTTTTTGAAGTATGAATCCAGGCATAATTAAAACAAGAAAAAGAAAAACATAATAGCAAAAATTAGCATTTTAAACACTAATCCAATAATGGGAAGAACGGGATTGTCTTTCTGATGCAACTGAAGAATATGTGGTACAAGTTTTTATCAATTTAAAGAAACAAAAACATTGGCGAATCAATCCAGAAGTGCGTTTTCGGACGCGGGAAGCTCAATTTGGGCTTATTGCAATTTTTATAAATTTTACACCATTGATTGCGCCTACCACCGACATCATTAGCTCCACTTACCATCGACGTTATCTCCAAGTACCACCGACATCATTAGCTCCACATACCACCGATATCATTAGCTCCACGTACCACCGACATCATCAACTCCACGTACCACAGACATCATTAGCTTCACTTACCATCGACATTAGCTCCACTTACCATCGACATTATTAGCTCCACTTACCATCGACATTATTAGCTCCAAGTACCACCGACATCATTAGCTCCACGTACCACAGACATCATTAGCTTGACTTACCATCGACATTATTAGCTCCACGTACCGCAGACATTATTAGCTCCACGTATCGCAGACATTATTAGCTCCAAGTACCACCGACATTATTAGCTCCAGGTACCGCAGACATTATTAGCTCCAAGTACCACCGACATTATTAGCTCCACGTACCGCAGACATTATTAGCTCCACGTACCGCAGACATTATTAGCTCCAAGTACCACCGACATTATTAGCTCCAAGTACCACCGACATTATTAGCTCCACGTACCACAGACATTAGCTCCAAGTACCACAGTGAACATCCAGAGAAGAGAGGAGAAAAAGAAAAGAAGGAAGAAACAGGAAAATTTAGAAAATACTCTGTGGCGTGGCCTGAAGAATGTTCATATAATTATTTGATTATCTTTTTTCTAGATTATCATACTTTCAGACTGGCAGTGTTACAAATCTGGTGATAAAATATGATCCTTAATCAAATAGATGATCTTTAATCAAGTTTTGAAACAAAGAATTAATTTTATTACAACAACGACATCAGAACCGTCAAGATCACAAGTTTTTGTGCTGCGCCCACTGCGTGAATTGAATCCTGAATTATAGCATTATAAAACCTTTAAGCTTATCGCTGAGTCACTGGGTGGGAGAATACTTTAATTCAACCAGTTTTTAGGGTCAGAAAACCTCCTTATTTATCTTGAACTGGGCTTTTACTTCTTACAATCAGCAAGCTTGATGAGGGCAAAATGTTTAAGGGGAAACAATACTAAATTTGTGACATCACTTAATTACGTCAATCGATGATAGCGTCACCTGGTGTCATAAATATGAGGTCGCTATGAATCTAGCTCTTAAATCACTCGTAAAAGCTAAGTGACTCATCTCTTAAAATCAATCAACGAGAGCGCCACCTGCTGTCTTAAACATGAAAGTGTTACATTTACTTTGTGTTACTAAGTCGGTGGCGCCACCAAGTGGTCAGCCGTGTACACTATGATTGTATTCGCGTTTTGAAAGGTTACTACTTCAATATGCTTATACTAGATTTTTTCTCACTGGAACGTAGCGCCACATCAATGATGCATGTCAGAAAAATATTTTATCTTATAATAAAGTTTAATTAATCTATCTCTAAATAAAAATACGTTTTTATATAATTTAAAAGTACTGAACACTTGAATTACACATTTTATAAAAGTCTCAACTTTCCTTGTCAACAAATAAGTGCACACCTCACGTTCCTACGAAATAACTGAAACTACAGTCAAATAATCTAATTTAATAAAGCTAACCTGTTAAATGGGGTCAAATGGTTCTCTATCATATTCATCACGATATTTCCTTTTTCTGTTGTCGGCAAACAATTTGAATACAATATACATTTTAAATAGTGTTTGCGCGTGTGTGCCGACTTGTATGAAAACCAATGAAATTCTTTTTACAACTTAATTGGTTATGCTCAATTTTTATTTGTTTGCATTTATGTTGTCGTCATTAATTTTGGGCCACTGACCAAAGGTGGTTATTTTTACCACAAAGCTACACAATGGGCTATCTGTGTTCTATCAATCGCGAGGAATCAAAAACCCAGATTTTAGCATTGTAAGTCCGGAAATTTAATGTTGACCCATTGGAGGAATGGCCAGAGGGAAGACATCCAGTCACCAGTACCCTACCATCTACGCTAAGTGATTGCCAATCACTCTTATAACGCCATCATAGCTTAAAGTGTTGAGAAGATTTTGTGATATGCCCGGGTTCGAACATGGCTCATCAGGTCCAAATTCTAGAGCTCTACCACTAGGGGTGGGGTGGTAGGGCAAGTGCTGTGGTCGCCACAAAGATGAGGCAAAGCGTTAGGAAATGAATCATTTTTTTTAGACGGGTACATAAACAGTTTATCCCCGCCCCCGAAAACTTGAAATTATTTTTTTCCTTTCGAATCAAGAATTAGGCTGTTAACCCTAAAACCAGGTGTCCATTTTACAAAAGTTAGTGGTTGTTTTGGCCATATCATAATGTCCAGCAAACAATAGAAACACTAAAATTTAGTGTTCGAAAAACACGACTTGTGAGTTCATCAGTTCACCTTTCAGAGAAATATTCATCTGAAAACGATTTTTCTCTCCATATGAGACAGGATTTTGGTAAGAATCTACTGCCGTTTGTAAATTGGGGTTTCGATACCCGTGGAGAGTAGAACACAGACATTTCATTGTGTAACTTTCTGCTTAACAACAACAAAACCAAAACCTTGTCATCTAATCTACTCACTGTAAACTTGGAGGATATCAGAAAAGCATGTTTACAGTAGTTTTAGTTGGAAATCCAAGGTTGGAAGAACTGTTGAAGTTAAAGCGATTGCCCTGGAGGTCATGAACGTGTTGAAAACCATTCTTGCAGTTCAAATCAAAGTCAAAATGGAATGACTCAGATCAAAAGTAGCCTCGCTTTTGAAAGAATTTTCATTAACACCAAAACACTATTTTGAGAGTTTCATTGGGTTTTTCGAAGTCGCGAAGAAGAGATCGAA